GCAACTGTTACCCTCCATGGGTTGAAGTCTTCATCAATGTGCATGTACGATAGCACCACCTATCGGAACCACGCCAAAAGTCACTGTGTCTTCATTGCGTTTGATTTCTTTGATCCCTCCTTTACATTCATATGCAAAGTCTTTACTTTCCGCTGCTCAACTCTTAGACTTGCATGTGTAGGGTGTACTTGACTTGGTAGAATCGCTAAAACTTGTTGATACGTCTCCAATGTATCTATATTTTTTGATTGTTCCATGCTATTATAGTATCAATCGTGGATGTTTATATGCCATTATATGCAATTATATATCATTTTTCGGGACTAATCTATTAACTTAGTGCACAGTGCCAGTTGCTGTTTTTTTTTCATGTTTTTGGCTTTTCAAGAAATCAATATCAAACGGAGTCCAAACGGAGAAAAAACTTAGGATTAATTTTTTCAGGACCAGAAGAGACCCTAGAAGGTTCGGGAGATGGCCAGACGAGCCATGAGGGAGCGACAAGCTCGGGAGGCGCCCCCAGGCTTTTGGGGCCCTCGTGGCACCTCCAACCCTAATTCCACCTCTACAAATTCTCAAATATTCCCATGACATCAGAGAGCCACCCGAAATACTTTTCCCCCGGCCGCAAGTTTTTGTTCCCACGAGATCCCATCAGGAGGCCTTCTCCGGTACTCTGTCGGAGGGGGAATCGGTCATGGAGGGGCTCTACATCAACCTTGCCGCCCTTCCGATGATGCATGAGTAGTTTACCACAGACCTATGGGGCCATAGTTAGAATCTAGATGGCTTCTTCTCTCTCTTTGATCTTCAATACAATGTTCTCCTTGATGTTCTTGAAGATCTATTTGATGTAATGACTTTTTGCGTTGTGTTTGTTGGGATCTAATGAATTGTGAGTTTATGATCAGTTCTATCAATGAATATTATTTGAGTTTTCTCTGAACTCTTTTGTGCATGATTATTATAGCCTCGTATTTCTTCTCCAACTTATTGGTTTGGTTTGGCCAACTAGATTGATTTATCTTGCCATGGAAAGAGGTGCTTTGTAATGAGTTCAATCTTGCGGTGCTCAATCCCAGTTGTAGAAAGGGACATGCCACATATTGTATCGTTGCTATTAAGGGTAAAAAGATGGGGCTTATTCATATGTGAGTTTACTTTTTCTAGATCATGTCATCTTAATTAAGGCGTTACTCCGTTGTTTATGAACTTAATACTCTAGATGCATGTTGGATAGCGGTCAATGTGTGGAGTAATAGTAGTACATGCAGAATCGTTTTAGTCAACTTGTCTCAGACGTGATGTCTATATACATAATCATTGCCTTGGATATCGTCATAATTATTTGCTTTTATATCAATTGCCCAACAGTAATTTGTTTACCCGCCGTATGCTATTTTCAAGAGAGAAGCCTCGGTGAAAACTATGGCCCCCAGGTCTACTTTTTATCATATAATAAAACCAAAAATACCTTGCTGCACTTTTTATATTTTTAATTTTGTATTTTTGTTCGATCTATCTATCTATCACCATATAATTTAATCTCGCAAGTAACAGCCAAGGGATTGACAACCCCTTGTTCGCGTGGGTGCAAGGATTTGTTATCTTGTGTGTAGGTACTGCTAACGAGGTGTTGCGTGGTTCTCCTACTGGATTGATAACCTTGGTTCCTAACTGAGGGAAATGTTTATCTCTACTGTACTGCATCATCCTCTCCTCTTCGAGGAAATCCCAATGCAGCTCACAAGTAGCACTTGCCTACAACTAAACTGGGAAAAAGATAGGTTTTTATTTTGTTAAGTTGTCTAATCACCCCCCACTCTAGACATACTTTTGATCCTACAAACAATTTAAAACAAAGCCCGAAATTAGCTCTATATGGAGGAAGGCCTCGCAAAATACAATGTACGAGGCGATATGGAGGATGGAGTTAGGGGCCAAGTGGTGGAACTAGATCCCGTAAAAATATAGAAGGCTTTGGAGGAAGGGGTGGACAGGAAATCCCAGCCCTCAGATGAGGTGGGATATGAACACAATGTGCTCGCCTTCCCGAGGTTCGGGAACTCGGGAGGCAGAGCAGATCTCTACCCCGACCCCTATATAAGCCAAGGGGTTTAGCTCATAGAGTTAAATTAGATTCATTCATATGATCTCGAGGTAGATCACCTGTACTTTGTACTCCATCACAATCAATACAACAGAAGTAGGACGTAGGGTTTTACCTCTTTGAGAGGGCCCGAACCTGGGTAAACATCGTGTCTCTTGTTCGTCCTATTACCATCTAGGAAAGATAACCAGCTCGGGACCCCCTACGTGAGATTTTCCGAAATTAACCCCGACACACTGCCTTCCAACGCCCTTTTGCCATAAAATCCCATCTACCCTAACACATCTTTGTACTTTTCCTTGGATTTTTTCAAGGGCTCTACGAGGCAGAACTGAGGGGAGGATTTCTGCGCTCTGGCAAGCTGATTCTGTTGGAGATCCATCCCTCCGGAATGGGAATTCGAATCCATCATGATCAAACAAATGGAAGTTGACCCCTTAAAATGCTTAAATACAAGTGTTAGACAGGCCAAAAGAATCTTCATTCTCATTTTAACGATCAAGATCACATTGAATCCATAGTCATGCCGATACTACCAAAAGGGGACGAGGATGATATAATGAGCCTTTTGCTCCACATGCTTAAAGATCGAACTACAAAAAACTCTTTAAAATCCTTAAAACATTCCATTATGTCTACCTAGTTCCTTTAATCTCGGTGCTTCCAAAGCACTTCCACTCGGAACCACCGAACCATTTAGATATAGCCGTTATACAAACCCTATTCCCGTTAGAGCTTCCAACATTCCATTCAGAACCACCAAAGCACATGGTAAAGCTTCTGCTACCATGTCAAAAATTCGAAGAAAAATCAGTCGGAACTTCCGCACCTTTAACAGAGAGTGTGCCACCGCTGAGGTGTTCACTTTGGAGCCACCGATTGTTTTCATTCGGACCCAACAATTCATTTGAAAGTTGCCAGCTTTGTTCACTTTGGAGCCACCGAGCATTCCAGTCAAAGCCTCCGAGATGCGCAATAAAGTGAGTCATGGCCAGATTTCTGGTCCAGCCTATATATACCCTCACCTATCCCATCAGTTCAACTCGAAGCAAATTCCACTCCCATCATATGTTCTGAGAGAGAACTCCACCTCCTTGTGCTAATATGACAACTTCTCATGCTGGACTTCAAATAGTTTTTTTTGCCTTTGTTCTTGCCAACTCTAGGTGAACCCATCTCAACAGCGGTTCATGTACATTTATCCAAGTCCTGACTCTCAAGCAATCTCCCCATGCATGGCACTTAGCTTCTGGTTGCTTCCCTTTGACACTTCACAGAATGTGCATCTCATGGTGCACCTGTCTTGGAACTCCGCCCAAAAATGAGCTTTGGGTAGATTTGTTCATTCCTATGAAATTGGTACGTTTATGGATTTTTTTATGTGAAATAATGTAGCCCTTTCCTTTGCTGAATCGAGCGCTAGCAAAGGAAAAAACCTACGCCAACAACATTTCATTGGAAAGTAGTTCATTCGCGTGAAATGAATGAGTCCCGAGTGTATGAACCTCTACATTGTACATGTTGTTTAGAATAAAGAAAGAGATAACTAAAAAGATCAACAAGAATAAGAAACAAGCACTTAACTGAAAGTCAAATTAAGCCACCGAGGAATAGCGATAACTACATTGATATATCAGTACGCCCGGATATAACCGGTTTTTGGATGATTAATGCCTAAGCAACATAGAATGCCACATTATCTACATGCAGTGAGCCGACTAACAAACCCATGCGAAGAAAATAGTATTTGTTGGGAGCGGCATTTTGGCTCTCGGATGCACCTGCACCCGCGGGCGAACAGTAAAATCATTAAAAATAGTAGAAAAAACAGAATTTTTTTTGTGATGCGAGTTGCTCATATGCGTGAAGTCCGTGCCAAATTTCGTGGAGTTTGGACATTTCAGTAGCTCTCAGCAAAGAAGATAAATTTCAGACCTGTGAGAAACATTTGAAAACAACAATGTTCGGAGCTAATTTTGTCTTTTTTTGCCGCGAGCTCTCCGAATACCATTTAGTCATGAAATTGTGCATGCACCTGCCGCACTCAAGCATCTTGCATCCTTTTTTTTTGCTATTTTCTTATTTTACTATTCACCGGGTGCATATAAGCCCGGGCACCGAATTGAAGATCCGATTCTTATTCCGCTATTCAATCATATAGCCAAAAATAAGGGATGCAGAATATCTTAGCTCAAGCTCAAATGAGCTCGTGTGAATTGTAAAATCTGAAACTATTTTTTTAATCTGATTTTTTTGTGTGTGGCAAACATTGATGAATGTTTTGAGTACTTGCAAAGTTTCATCATGGAATAACATTCGTGGAAGTCGTGGAAAAAAATGAACGGTCCAAAAATGATATCTTCAAAAGCATTTTGTAGCATTGATTTTTTTTGGTACAACTTCCACAAATGTCATTTCAGAATGCAACTTTGCAAACACTCAAAACTTTCATCAATGTTTGGCACAAAAAAATTCATATTTTTTTGATTTTTTTACAGTTGTTTTCAATTTACTGTTCATGGCAGGGGAATGTGAGCTCGAGCTAACAAGATGACTTTTCCATAAATAAGCCCAAAGGATGACTACCCTGAGCAACTTAGAATCCCGGATTATCTGCGGGTAATGAGCTGACTAACAAACGCGATACAGGCCGATATGATGCCGCAAAGGATCTCAAGCCAAACGCAACGAAAAGAAAACGCACACATAATACACTCGCGCACACACTGAGGATAATTCTGAGTAGCCCCGTGAGGCTCGAACGCCTCACCTTGGGCGTCGACTCCATCTACCCCTCTCCAGAGAAAGGAGTTGCGAGGTATGAGGTCAATGGCACGTACTAGTACGTACCCCTAATTAACGGCCATACACATCGGCCCACGGGCCGAGCTTAGTAGGCGTCCCAGAGGGACCCGTGCGACCAGCAGTGCGCGGCCTGGTCCATCTCGCTGGCGCCCGTGGCCCATGCTGGCGGCTCCAGCAGCATGGCCTCCGCCATCTCGGCCCATAGCCTGGGCGAGTCCACCTCGAACTCCTCGTCGCTCCCCCTCCCGTCCACCAGCTCCCACCCGGGGCACTCGGCTGCCCCCCGCGCCACCAGTGCTGGCTCGCCCCGCACGAGCTCGGCCGCCTCCGCCGCCGCGGCGCGGACGTCGTCCGGGTGCGAGCTCGCCGGCCGGGGCAGCCGGTCCACCGACCCCGGGAAGTTGAGCTGCGCGTCCCGGCCGCGCAGCCGCAGCGCCGCCACGTCGTGCGCCACCGCGGCCATCTCGGCCGACTCGAAGCTGCCGAGCCAAATGCGGGTCTTGGTGCCGGGCTGCCGGATCTCCGACACCCACTTGCCCCATTTCCTCTTCCTCACGCCCCTGTACTGAGACTGGGAGGAGCTTGAGTTTGGCGACTGCTCCTTGCCCGACTCTTCCATCGATCGCTTCTTGCCCAACGTGTTGCGACGGAGATGATCGAAGAGTGTGGGATGCAATGCAGAAATGGATGCGATCTTTGTGGGCTTATATAGGAGATGGGGAGTGACGGGGGCACTGTTGCCACAGGACCGGTGTCACTTCATACGTACGCTGGCTACTATGTTAAGCTCATCATTTGCTTTCATGATTGGCGCGCAATAATAATGCCTTCCTGGCAGATACACTGTGGGACGGACGATGGATCGTGTGCAGTTGCAGTCTGACCACTCCACATCTTGGTGTACCGAGTGTACATGCATGCATACACTGGTGCGAAGGACAGCAAAGGACACTCAAAAGTAATTAGCGGTGCTAGCAGCAGGCTCGCTAGCCTTGTCACTAGCAGTAATGGAGCAAACGTGCACTGAAAACAGGCAACTACTTGCGAAACAGACCATAGGCATCGACGCATCGTCACACGCGCGCGCACCAAATCGGTTGTTGCAAGGAAGAAATATCGTTGTCGTTTAAAGAAGGAATTCAAGCCTCAAAGCGATCCGTGCAATTAGTCGTCGATCCTTTCGAGTTTGGTTACAAGCCGACGTCGCCAGGTTAACTGCGTGATGCTACCCTGAAAAAGAACCGCGTGAGAGCGTCTACAGCCGGACTTAACAAATTTGACTTTTCAAACATATGTAGACGCGTCCGAGTGCATCCACGGATAGTCACCGGCCACATCTTAAAAAATGCATTCCATATCCGGATACCTTGAATTAGAAACCTCATACACATATTATTACATGTAACGTAGCGATCTTTGAGCGGAGTTTTGTTCAGTTCTACTCCCAGCTCGTCCTGTTCAGAGTGTTGGTTCGGTCGCCGGCAAGCTAGAGTAGGGCATTGGACACGAGCCAGCTCAAGGTACTCCAGGCGCCGCCGTCTCCCATGCACTACTCTTCCTCGTCAGAGCCCGGAACCTGTTTGTGAACGTCAGATCGATGATGAATCCGTTCTTGAATGAGCCGACGACATCCACCACCATGTGGTTGCGGCGCCCGCACTGCTGCACCATACAGGGAGGCAGAGAATGGGACTCCTCCTAGCCGACATCCACCGCGGCGAGCCCCGCCGCCGCGTCCCATGCCCGCTGCCACGCACGGTGGGCACGCCGCGCCATGTTTGCATTGGACGACGCCCACGATGAGTCCATTGCCTCAGTGCGCCAACAGAGGAGTTATGCGTCCACCACCGTGTTCAGACGCCAGACGGATCGTACCGCCTCCGATGAGGCAGCCATCTAGCGCCGAATCCATGTGCCATTTGGGCAGACGTAATTGATTCCCGGCGGAAGCAGTTCGAGCGCGGCCGTGCACGGGCCTCCTCCCGGGCGCGGCGGAGCGCAAGCCGGATGACCATCTCCTTCTCGGTGCCGCGTGGGATGAGCTCGGGGTCGACGGATCTGGAGATGAAGGACTCAGATCCGCTGCCTGCCATGATGGAGACAGCCGGACGAAGCCGGAGACGAGTTTGGGTGGCGGAGGTGAGTGGAGGGGAGTGGACCGAAGTGGCTAGGGTTTGGTCCCGCGAGCAGATGTGAAGAAATATATATGGGGTCGGATAGGTCAGCATGGGCCAGGTCCGATATAGGGGGCGTGCCCGAACGCCTCCTTATCCGTCTCATATTTAGGCTGGATATGAGGGGTGTCGGTCGGTCCGGGCATTTGAGACGTCCGTCTAGATCAAAATTTTGAGACCGGGCGAATGTATGAGGCGTCCAGTTGTAGACGATCTGACGACTAGTGACTAGCTTAGGTCGATTGATTGGCATGTAGCCTGGTGTAGGTCCGATGTGGTATGGGTCTTTGAAGGAACAGCCTGGAGCTGGACTATCGTTCTGACTTCTTCTGACAGGCTGAGGGAGACGCGTCGAGATCCGATCGCAGAACATCATTTCTGAGGCACACGTACGGTTGGAGTAGCTTGGCTGTAGCACGGATGATTAGGAATTCATTACGGGAGGGGTGGATCCAGTCTAAATTGGGAAAGGGGTATGCATCCGTGTGGGACCCTTGACCGGACTACGACACGTGTCAACTTCTGGCCGTACGAAAGACCCCCCGGCCGTACGCCCGTACCTCCGTGATCATGCTACGGTGCAATGCGGCATCCGTATGACTGTCTCTTTGGTATACTCGCTAAAACCATCACGATAGCCAGAATATTTTTTGAGCATTATTATTATTACTCAGGAGGAAGTGCATTGCCAGTGCGGCCCTGTCCTGCAAATTACGCAAAATATAATCTTGTTACACGAACTAAGCACATAATGAGGAAGTGGATACACCGTCGAATCAAATGGACTAATGGAGCATCCAAGTTGAACCATGCATCTAGGCATGATCTGCTCAACAGTGTTGGCGATCAGAGCGGTATAAATACGTGAGGCAGATCCCCATGCGTGCCTGTCGTTGAATAGATTGGCATTACGCGCGTTCGCATGACTAATGAGTTAGGTAACTAATCAATCATTGCGTGGGTAGGACCTTCGAACTACAATACTCCACTACTGGTAGCATTAGGTCTGAGCTAATTATAGGAATTTTTCTGTTAGGTCCAAGCTAATTGTTTTTTTGCCTATGAAATATGAAGGACAGGATCCTACATAATTCCTACAAAATTCCTACAGGCATAAGGTTTTTCAAAAGAGTAAAATGCACCATTTTAGCCCTAAAACAATTTGAGGGGTGTCAAGTTAGTCTTAATACTACGAAAATGCGCATTTGGGCCCTCCAAGTTTGCTAGTTGTGTCACTCGTAGTCATATGCGCGTTGCATCAGCCTTGACTTGTAGGGGTGGTAGGTTAACCGCTGCCATGTGGCGACTTTTTTTGCACAACCGCTCCCCCTTCCCCCAAACAGTCTTTGTCAGGGTTACGATCCTGACAATGAGTGCTAGGGGTACGAATAAGAGGCAAAGCCTCGCTACGGCTCAGGTGTAACACTCGGTGCTTAACGAGTTCGGGCCCCTCTCGCCGGAGGTAACAGCCCTACGGCTCGGGCTTGGTTTTGTTTTGATGGGTACAAATATTGCTCGACTCTAGCTCAGGAGGTGGAGTGCAACTTATATAGAGTGCGCCGCAGCCGCATGTCCTCCACGTCGCCAGGGCACTTAATGACATTGGTTGTATCAGTTACAAGTGTGTAAAGAGCCTCTACTACAGCAGTTACATGTAACGGTAGTCTTGACTCCGTCTTAAGGGCGACTTAGGATTCCTCTACCGTTGCAGCTCCCACGCTGTCCCTTCAACTCCAAAGTCCGAGTGGTGGTTGTCCAGCCGAGTGACGGGTGGTCGTCCGAGTGTCGTCGAGGCGTCCGAGTGGATTCCCTGATATATGCATCCGAATGCTGGTATGGTTCAGGGACCTACCCATTGGTGGTGATGGGCCCCATGTGGGTCCTATATGATGGGTCATTGTCGGTGTCAAAACCGGCGGATCTCGGGTAGGGGGTCCCGAACTGTGCGTCTAGGTTGGATGGTAACATGAGGCAGGGGACACGAAGTTTTACCCAGGTTCGGGCCCTCTTGATGGAGGTAAAACCCTACGCCCTGCTTGATTAATATTGATGATATGGGTAGTACAAGAGTAGATCTAGCACGAGATCAGAGAGGCTAAACCCTAGAAGCTAGCCTATGGTATGATTGTTGTTCGTCCTATGGACTAAAACTCTCTGATTTATATAGACACCGGAGAGGGCTAGGGTTACACAGAGTAGGTTACAATGGTAGGAGATCTACATATCCGTATCGCCAAGCTTGCCTTCCACGCCAAGGAAAGTCCCTTCCGGACACGGGACGAAGTCTTCAATCTTGTATCTTCATAGTCCAGGAGTCCGGCCAAAGGTATAGTCTGGCCATCCGGACACCCCCTAATCCAGGACTCCCTCAGTAGCCCCTGAACCAGGCTTCAATGACGAGTCGTCCGGCGCGCAGATTGTCTTCGGCATTGCAAGGCGGGTTCCTCCTCCAAGTACTTCATAGAAGATTTTGAACACAAAGGTAGTGTCCGGCTCTGCAAAATAAGTTTCCACATATTGCCATAGAGATAATAACATTTACACAAATCTAATCTGCTGACGTATTCCGTAGCGTGACATCACACCACGGCCAAGTCTTTATTCGAATCGTTTTACTGTCCCACCTCAGCGCGTTTAGCGAGGCGGTTTCCTTGGCACATCTTGTTAAAGCAGAGATCGTGTCCCCTTATTCCGGGATTCTCATCAATACGGGTGTGGGTAACCCAACCGCGCCATTGACTGCGGCGCTTGGGAGATAAGTGAGTTTTACCAGGCTAGTGGGGGCGCATAGTCGCGTCTGCCCATATAAGGGGACACGATCCACCTTTTCATCCACGCCTTCTTCCTCCTTTGCCTATCCATTTCCGCGCACTCGAGCTCCAGCGCCCAAGTCCGCACACCCCACCTCAACCTTCTCCAGCCATGTCCGGAGCGGGAGGCAAGTGGATGGTCTCCTCCGACACGGAGGGACACATCAAAAGACTGAGGAAGGCCGGATACTTGTCTAACGACATTGCGCACCGGCTTCCCGAAGAGGGGCAGCTCATCCCCACCCCTAGGCCCCATGAGCGGATGGTGTTCCTCCCCCATTTCCTCTGTGTACTGGGCTTCCCTCTCCACCCATTTGTCCGGGGGCTCATATTCTACTATGGCCTAGATTTCCATGATCTGGCCCCGAATTTTGTCCTCAACATCTCGGCGTTTATCTCGTGTGCGAGGCTTTCTTCTGCATCTGGCCCCATTTCGGCCTATGGCTCAAGACTTTCAATGTCAAGCCGAAGGTGGTGCGTGGCACCCAAGCGGAGTACGGAGGCGCCATGGTGGGAAAGATGCCCAACGTCCTATGGTTCGAGGGCTCCTTCGTGGAGTCCCTAAAGGGGTGGCAGTCGGGGTGGTTTTACATCACCGAGCCGCGAGACCCTGAATGGGTCGCAGCCCCCGAGTT